AATATATATTCATTTATTCTAAAAAAATTATTAACATAAATAAATAAATGTAAACGATTTTTTAAATCGTTCAGAAATCCGTGATCACCCTCTGTATTAATTATAGTTCTTAGTTTTAAAGTATTGATTTAATTTTTAGTTTTAAATTATTATTTTTTTAACCTTTTGAAAAAGTTAAAAAGTAAAGATAAAATAAAATAAAAATTTTATATAAATTTTAAAAAATAAATTAAATATATTTTTTTAGTTTTTTCAATACATAAAATTTTTATTTTTTAATTAATAGATTTTATATTATATGAATAAAAGATTAGCAAAAATTTTAAAACAAAATTATATAATTATTAAATTAAGATTTTGATATTATATTATTTTTATAATTTAAAAATTAATATAAAGAATATAAATATTTTTTACATAAATCTTATAATTAAAATTATTTATTTTAAATTTGATAAAATAACTTAATTTTTATTAAGATTTTAATATAAATTTTTTAAGTTTATTTTTTTACTATTTAGATGATTTATTAAATTTTTAGATTTTATTGAATAAATTTATTTATATAAAAATGATTATACTTCAATGTGAATTGATAAATTATTAATTAAATTATATTTTGACAAATAAATTATATTTTAACAGACGTAATTATTTTATTAATAATTTATAACAAATATCAAATTGACATAATTAATTTTGAATATCATTAAAATTAATTAATATTAAAGTATAGAAATTATTATAATTAAATAAATACTTTAAGTATATTAAATTTATTTATATTTTATATTTTAAAGAAACTGATTTAGAATATTTTAAATACCTTTCTTAATATAATTAATTAGTAATTGAGATTATGCTTATGTATTATAATCAATTTAATGTTTAAACTATCTTATTTTATACTTTATTAATGATAAATTCCTAACCAATGTAATTCTATGAAAATAAAATGGTTTAGGCTTTCATATTTATTTATCAGAATAGTAAATCATTTGATATTTTAAAATCAAATTTTAATTAATTAAAATTTTATTTTTAAACATTGAGTTAGATGCTTGAAAATGCTCTTATTCTATTTGTCATAATTATTAAGAATATTATTTGTACTAATACTAATTATTTTATTAAATAAAATAATGATTTTAAAGAAAATAGGAATTTTAAGTAGCATTATTTAATAAATCATTTTGTTAAAGATAAATGATTTACGATCACGTGACTACTTCGAACTGATTAATTAGAATCGTCTGGAAGATCTCCTAAATTGCAAATGCATAAGATTGTCTAAACTTCGTCTCGTCTCTTAGATCTATAAAGTTACAGCCATGTCAGGTCAAAATCATTCACAAGTTCCATACCCTTACGACCCTAATAACTATGTTTCTAATACAACTCCGTCAACAGATCCGCCTCAAACATACTATGGATATGATTACAATGCGTATTCTTCCAACGCAGTTCATTATGCAAGCAATTCGACAACTAGTGGATATGAAGGGTACGGCGACTATTCTACTTATAATGCTAGTGCTTACTATTATCCTTCAACGGGAGGAACTGCGGCAACTTCAACTGCAACGACAGCTACTGTAGTTGAGGCTCCTCCATCTATGATTAACACTACAGTTTCTTTATCTTCTAACGCTTCAATTAATAACAAATCTGGGCATAATCAGCATCAACAGGATAGAGGGTTGAGTTCAAGCTTCCATGGTCCGACAAAAGATGAAATGATGACTGGAACTAATGAACAATCAGGAATGAGTAGTAGTAATAAACAACAATCCTCGAAAAAAAAACAAAAAACGATTATAAGAGCTGCAGGTGGTGAAGTTTGGGAGGATCCAACTTTATTAGAATGGGATTTGAGTAAGTTCATTATTATTATTATCATGTTTTTTTCCTTAAAAAAAGGAAAAAGAAGAAAAATTCCAAGGTTTTTCTTTTATGTAATTACGTTCTTTTTTTTTATTTTCTTAAAAACAGATGATTTTCGTTTATTCTGCGGTGATCTCGGTAATGAAGTCACGGATGATGTTCTTTACAAAGCTTTTTGCAAGTACCCATCTATTCAAAAGGCCAAAGTTATACGGGATAAAAGGACAGGTAAAAGTAAAGGATATGGTTTTGTTAGTTTCAAAGATGCCGATGAATTTGTGAAAGCATGGAAAGAAATGAATGGTAATTTATGATTTATTTAAGTGAAGGCTAATAATATCGAAAAGTTTTAGTAATAAATTTTCTTCTTATCTAATAGGCAAATACGTCGGAAACAGACCAATAAAATTACGAAAGAGCACATGGAAAGAAAGGAATATCGATGTTAAAACCAAGAAACATCATCCTTATAAATAAAATGAAAATTTTTTTCTTTGCTCTTGACGTGAATATTAATATTATTTCGTTATTATGTATTATTCTGTTTATATATTCCTAAAAGGTAAAAACATCTAATTTATAGAGTGAATATAATGAAAGTAAATAAAGTCTCATGTTTACATATAATTTTATTATTTGATAATATTTCGGATAATTGAATAAATCGTTGAGTTGTGTGATGTTTAAAACTGTAAAATTCAAATCACATTTTAGATCGAGAACGAACTAACTTTTAATCGAATTTAAATTTTTTAACTTACATTCATTCTTTATCGATGGATCGAATTATTTCATCAATGAAGGCATTCACGTTAAAATTGTCAAGGTGATAAGGAAGCGTAATTTCTACCTTGGTGTCCTGTAAACGTTTTATAAAATATTTTAAGTTTACAATCCGACTTTCCGATTCTTGAATTTTTTTGGGAGGAATGTTTGCGCGAATTTCTGCAACATTCATAGATTTGTAGTTAAGAGACAACACGATTTCTTGAATTTCTTTAGCAATTTCGAGTAGTCTTTCGAGTTGATAACATCCTCGACAAGCTGTTGCCCGAATATCTGAAGGTCCTGGAGAATTATAGCGTGCATTAGCAGCTTTCTGGTCAATTTCTGCCGGATTTATTTCGGCTTGTATGAAATTTGGATCTGAAGTATCAATTCGAGCCTTCCCATAATTCTTGAACGGAATTTGTTTGGACATTTTTGTTCTGATAAAATATACGTTTTGTTTTTTTTTGAAATTTTGATGGCCGCGAAAAATTTCACTTCACGTGATCTCTAAAACATGTCATACATGTATTCGGGGGGGGGGGAAATTCCTATTTGTCGCATTATTCGTCAAATGTTAATTTCAGCCAAGTTTCATAATGTTGGCCAAAAATCATGTGCGTGAAATTCTGTGTTTACACTATATTATTAATAATTTTAATCTCAGCGCATCCTTAAAGTCACGGGATCATATCTCACGGGTTATTTACCATAGTTCAACTTATAATTTAATTAATTTAATTTGTTACAAATTTAGTTTGCCAACTTGCATTCATCTGATGACAGTTTCTTTTGTTCCTTGAAATCCAATTGATGGTTTTACAACAATTTTTACGGGAACTTTAATTTGAATTTCACGGAAATGGAATAAACATTTATAATCTCCGGTCCGATGAATTTCACCAGAATTATTTTCATGAAATTCAATATCATCTAAATTAAAGATCATGTTATAACCACTTTTAACGCGATTTAAAATATCTTCAAGTTTTACGGGATTTTGAAGTTTAGTAGGAATGTTAAGATCTCCATCCAAATCACGATCAAAATCTAAAGAAGGAATATGATTAAGGATGGCAACTTTCTTTTGTATTTCTTCAAAATATTGTAACACTCTTGGTGCATTCTTTTTTTTATCCTTATACAAAACGCGTACAAAGAAAAATTAAGAGAGGTTAGTTGAATTGATTCATTAAATTTATATATTTTGATGTGAAATTAACGTACAGCATATGATCTTCCAAGTATGGCCAATGTGATTTGTCCTCCCTTGGCTATTTGATGTATTTGTGAAGGGCCTTTTGATTGAAGTGACTTGTTCTTTCCTACTGTTGGTATAAAATAATTTGCTTTACGGCTAGGATACAAATCGTTTCTCATATATCCTTTATAAATTAACAATGATATTGATTTAATGACCGTTTCTTATTCTTCATTTTTAAATATTTTTTTTAAAATCTTTTTTACCAGGTTTGACTTTTACAATTTCACCTACACGACAAATTTAAAATTGTTATTAATGTTCAATTACGTTTAATAATCAATTATGCATTATTTAACAACCTTTCTCGCCAAGATTTTTAACGGGGGTTAATAGTTCTATTGTTACTTTTCTATATTTAGCAGTTCTACTAAAAATTCTTGATTCCAATAAATTGACAAATAAATTTGATGATTTGTTGGAGATGATTTGAACGCTTTTAGATGTGGTTATTGTACGATTCGATAATAACGTTGACATTTTTTTAACAAAATGTTCTAATGTTTGTGAATAGATGATTTAAAAAAAAGGTTACTCGGACTTTATCGGATCTACTCTCGGAAATAATCGGGAAAATTAAAAGATAATTCTACCCAAAATTTTTTGATTCTTTTAATTCAGGCCAAGGTTGTATTTAGTAAACGCGTAAGAAGTTGCGCAATTCATTTTTTTTTTTTTTAAAAGATTAAGATGAATAAGATGAATATGTAAGATGAATAAAAAAATCTAATAATTTTCTATATTTGGTAACTTCAAAGATATTAATGCATAATTTTTATTTCCGGATTTTTAACCGCGTCATCTACCGCCGTTTTGTGGGACAATCTTTCCGCCTCGGTTCTAGTCTCCAAGCAAGTAATACGAGATTTCATAATTTGTAACACGAAAATTATAAACTGTTTATGATGGAATGGCGCGAAAAACCTTTTAAAGATCCAAGAATTTGGATTAAAAAAGATTAAAAAGACATGTGGGACTGCTAAATGAAAGATTTTTTTTTTTATGTTAATTTAAAAATTGATTGACTATTCCGGTCATCCCCGATTTCTTTTACCGGAATATTGATAATATAAAATCTTCGATTTTTAGATCAACTATTTTTTTTTTTACAGATATTTTCTTATTTGAAAAAAAAAAAAATTAAAAAACATATATCATGTCGTTCTCACGTCCATTATCTCGCGCTTCCTTTAGCTTATCAAAGGTTGATATTTTACTCATAATTATAGAATTTAATTTATATGATATATACACCTTTTTTTTTTGATAAATTTGTAAATTTTTTTTTGATTATTTATTTTGTTTTAGAAATTAACTGCTAAACCTTTATCAACGGCATTACCTTTGGCAAGGCAAATTTATCCTGCGACTATCACTGGTGCCATTCGAAGTTTACACGCTTCAAAATCTAAAGTATGTATGCTTATAAGAATTAGTTTAAAGACCAAGACTTGATCAAATTAATAAATTATCAAGAACTATGCGGTTGATCTGATAAGTCAATTTAATCAACAAAAATTCTAAATTTATATATTTGAATATTTTATTATCATTTTCTTTTTTTATTTTAGTTTTTTTGACTAATTCTTTTCATTGTCACAATAAAGTCCCTTAAAGAACGACTTGAAGAATTAATTCCATTGAAACAAGAGGAAATAAAGCAAGTTAAAAAAGAACATGGAGCCAAAAGTTTAGGAAATGTAACGGTTGATATGGTTTATGGAGGCATGAGAGGTATCAAAGGTTTGATTTGGGAAGGTTCAGTGTTAGATCCCGAAGAAGGTATTGAATTTAGAGGTCTCACTATACCCGATTGTAGAAAAAGGCTCCCGGCGGCAGACGGTGGAGGAGAACCGTTACCTGAAGGATTATTTTGGTTGTTGTTAACTGGGGAAATTCCAACAAAAGAACAAGTTGATGCTATATCTGCTGAATGGGCAGCTCGATCTTCAATTCCTTCATTTGTTGAAGATTTAATTGATAGATGTCCAAATACTTTGCATCCAATGTCACAATTTTCTCTAGCTGTTACTGCTCTACAACATGATTCTTCTTTTGCTAAAGCTTATCAATCTGGTGTTAATAAAAGTGAATATTGGCAATATGCTTATGAAGATGCTATGGATTTAATCTCAAAATTGCCGGCTATTGCTGGTAGAATCTATAGAAATGTTTACAAAGATGGAAAGGTTCCTTCTATTGAAATGGATAAAGATTATTCTTATAATTTGGCTAAAATTCTTGGATATTCGGAAGATAAAGATTTTGTGGAATTATTAAGACTTTATCTTACAATTCATTCTGACCATGAAGGTGGAAATGTATCAGCTCACACTATGGTAAATAGATTTGTTTTATTTTCGCTTATGTCAAATTTTTACTCAATCTCTTGTTAAAATTCTATTTAATCTAATTACAGAGACTCGTGGGAAGTGCACTTTCTGATCCTTACATCTCATTTTCAGCTTGTCTCAATGGATTAGCAGGTCCACTACATGGGTAAATTTCACTACTGTTATTTAGCAGGCTTTCTACATTTATTTAGTTAAA